CCTTCCTCAGCCTAATCCCCTCTCCCACACCCACCCAACCCCCCTCTCCCACAGAGGGGCTCCTTAACATTTCCCCTGGTTGGGGTTTTGGTTAAATGGAAACAAATGTGTGCTGTGCTGCTGAGGTCAACACAGGGCAGGTGTGCAGCGAGGTGGAGCCTGAGGGCACACACACACACACACACACACACACACACACACACACACACACACACACACACACACACACACACACACACACACACACACACATATCCTTCCTCAATCTCAGTTGGCCATATCCAGGCCTGTTGAGGAGGAAAGAACAGTTTGAACGTATTAGAGCAGCTGAGGGGTCCAAACCGGTGACTTAATGCTGTTTCCTGCTCCTTTCTGTGGATAGCAGGTGTGATGTGTCCATATTCCTTTCAGTGGCCACTGTATGAGTTTGATAGCAACGTAATCATCAGGTTTTGGTGTCGTACCCTCAAATAAAGTGCAGGTGCTCTTTAGAGCTGCTCCTTCGTCCTGACGTTCGTAGATCAAACACAAAGGAATCCACTCAAGTAATGGCAGAGAAACCAATTCTGTGCTCACAGTACAGGAACAATGTCAGCTTAGTAAAACACTGTGACTACGCTAAGTGGAGATTTACCACACAAAGAGGTGGTGTGTTACTTCATACACACACTAATCTGCCAGATGTGCTAACCGAGCCAACTAGCTAAAGTAACGTTAGCTTGCTCGTTGTGTACAAGTGAACATCATGAAGTCAGCATAACATGTGCTACTGCATATATTGAGAAGTAAGGTGTTTCAGAGTTAGAAGTATTTCGTTTTTTGCAAATAGATCTTTGGTATATTGTGTTGTATAATAGAATGCAATTAAAAAAGTACCCGTCTACTTTTTACTGTTAATTGGTCATACATTAGCAAGCTTCAGTTAGCTCTGTCTATGGATTCAGTTAGCTACAAAGCAGTTGCTGGCAGTAAGTAGTAAATATCTACATGATCCGTTAGTCTCACTCTGAGGAGCAATGTCTTTGAAGATGAAAACTGCAGGTTAACCAAAACTACTCAACCCTTAGAATGTGTTAAATACCTCAGATGTGTTATATATTGAATGGAAGATGGAGATCTGCGGCAACCCTTCCTCTGAGGGTAACTCACACACATCTAACTGCACACAGAGTATATTTATCCTCAAAGAAGCTGAGAATGCAGCACACATGTTGTAGTGTAGCATGCCTTGTAAAACTGTTTCTATACAACACAGAAAACCATGGCAGACTTTAAAAGTGCTGCAAAGGCGACGAAGGGACTTCCTGTCAGGCATGGAGCCGCTTTGAATATCATTTTAAAGTCTCAAACATGAGACGTGAAGCCGCATTAGGTTTTTATTAACATCGTAAGTGCAGTTGTGTTTTTGGGTTAGGGTTTTTACAACGTGGTCTGTCTTTGTTTCTTCAAAAGGGATCTCCAGAATAATGAAATCTCCTGGACCATTGAAGACATGAACGGCCCTTTCTCTGCTCTGGACAAGCTGAACAAACTGTGAGTTCCTGCTCAAGGTGTTTCACCCTCACTATGTGACTTCCTGCAAATAAGAAATTCTTCTTTTGTTTTTTACAGTTGTTATTCTGAGTGTTCTACAGTTTTGCAATACAACAATGCAACAAGTGTTTGTCGAGCGCTTTAAAGTCAAATCTGATTGTAGGTGAACCTGTGAGACACTCTGGGGTCAGCAGACCATAATAACATGAGGCTAGTCAACAACATCATCTCTGTGTCCTGGACAGTGAATATGACTGACTCCTTTGTGCACCTGTCGTTCGTAAAATGAAATACTGAGATAAATCCCGGATCAAATGTATGTTCGAGGGTCTTGAACCAGTTGTGTTTTTCAGTGATTGTAATGTTATGTTAAATGTCTTTTTCCTTGTATCGTATTATATTTGTCCTTGCTTGATGTTGCAAATGGAGCTGCTGTGATGCAAGAACAATGCCAAACTCAATGTGAGTATTTCTGAATCCTAAGAGTTAGAAGCTGATACAGAGTCTTGTTGTTTCCCAGCTTCCTGCAGGGCAACCAGATCCGCTCGGTGACCAAGAAGTCTTTCTCTGGCCTGGACGCGCTGCACCACCTGTGAGTTGGCCTCGTGTTTCACTAATTGTTTCCAAAAGTTGAGCTGTAAACTAAGCAGGGTGAATCACACAGACACAGAGGCTGTTTGTTTCAGTCCTCTCCCAGTCCTCCTCTTTCATGTGGAATCAAGACAATGTATTTTTACTGTAGTGCCAGACTATATTGATCACCAAGGCTAGTGTGTGTGTGTGTGTGTGTGTGTGTGTGTGTGTGTGTGTGTGTGTGTGTGTGTGTGTGTGTGTGTGTGAGTGTGTGTGAGTGAGAGAGAGAGAGTGTGTACAACAGCTGCATTTGATTCTAATTAGAGTTTTTTCCCAGCCAAGCTGAAGCCGCCCAGACTCGGCCTCTCTTGATTAACACAGCAAACTCCTGCCCAGAGTTTTATTGTTCTGGAGCCCAGACCTTTTTTTCTCTCCATTGAAGTTGTTGTAGCGTTCCCTCTGTACGGCTGATGTTGGCAGAAAGAGGCGCCATCTTTCCTCAGGGTCTCACCAGTCCTCTTTCTCTTCTCCTCTCCACAGAGATCTGAGCAATAACGCCATCATGTCTATCCAGGCCAACGCCTTCTCTCAAATGAGGAACCTGCAGGAGCTGTGAGTAGGAATGTTTAAACACAGCTTCAGTGAGTGTGTCAGGGTGGATGTTGCACAGAGCACCAGGTGAAAGTCATTATGGTCTGCTGGGAAAGGCAGCAGCAACAGGTTCCACTAGAGCAGGGGTACTCAAACCTTTTTGTTAAAGGTCCACTTGTGAATTTTATACAAGGTCAATGGTCCGGATCAATGCCATTAAAGTAAAAAAACTCTCTTTTCCTCCGTACCCAAATCTTTTAAAAAAAGGGGTACAATGAGCGGATACAGATTTGCTGCCAATCTGACGTCAAATTGGCGGCGGACCCACAGAAAATTGCTATCAGAAACAATGCCTGACGTGTTTTGGACGTAACCACGTCTTTGTTTACATTAGCAAGCCTCGCTAACACTCAGAGCTAACCTGTACTGTCGAGCACATTAGTTTAAAAAGCAGGAAATAAAACAAGGAACTCACCTTGTGATAAACCCGCAAGAGAAAAAGCATTTGTGCTTCATACTGTTTCAGAAATAATCCTTGATGTGGTTTAGAACAGGATGGCGTTTTATCACAGCAGAATTTAACTTTATCTCTGGTAGAATTCTGATCAGGCATTAGGTCCGCCTCATCTTTTTTTTTTTTCAAGCTAAGGACCCAAAATCCAAATTTCTCTAACAGGGCTGCAAAAGAGGGGTATGAGCAGTATGAGGCATTGCTACAATGGGTGAACTGTTTAGTATTTTAAGCAAAAAACTTAACAGAAATGTTTTGTATAGGTATGGCCCTACAATATATGTTTACAATATTGCAAAATATTTTTATTTTTTATAATGGGACACAGGGTTCGGTCCGGATTGATTTGCAGTTCGGTCCGGATCCAGACCTTGGTCCGGAGTTTGAGAAGCCCTACACTAGAGCATTGATTCCAGTGTTGCTAAACAAAGGAATTTCAAATATTTCCCAAAACTATTCAGACTGAATGGTTTGCATGTTGGACACATTTTCCACACAGCTTAGCAGTTTTAGTCTCTTAATTAAGCAAATCAACAATTAAAGTCCATTGTAGCAGTGAAAAGGAAAGGAAATATAAATATGTAACTCTTAACTGCCTCTGGGGCACCAGCAGGGTAACTGAGAAGTCCAGGCAAGAATATCCTTTGGAACATTTATTTCAATGGTCCAATATCATACATAAATGCAGTTATAATTCTTTCCCTTCGGCCTTTCCTATGGATCTCCTCGTGCTTAGCATGATTGAAAAACCATATGCCATAATGGTGCGCTGAAAAAAAAATCGTAAAACAACTACTTAAATTACACTGAAATAAAAGGTAAATTCAGCCACAAGAAAACAAATGTTTACCTATAAAATAATATAAATCAATATACAGCTCCGACATCACTATTAGTTTCACTAATCAACAAATTGTCCTCATAATCTACTGAAGTACAACATGTAATATAGAACAGCCGTTTCCAGAGATGTAGGAGCGTTGAATGGAGCTCTGTGCTGTCTCCCTGCAGGCGGCTGAACACCTCCAGCCTGCTGTGTGACTGCCAACTCCAGTGGCTTCCTGTCTGGGTGGCAGAGCAGAGCTTCCTGCCCCGCGTCACCGCCAGCTGCGCCCACCCGCAGACGCTGAAGGGCAGCAGCGTGTTCTCTGTCAGCCAGGACCAGTTTGTGTGTGGTAAGTGAGGCATTAACTGTGTGCAACACCTTCACACACACACACACACACACACACACACACACACACACACACACACACACACACACACACACACACACACACACACACACACACACACACACAGCTTTTCCATTTACGAGCAGACCCAGATTGTTCAGTATTTTCCTCCCGACTCCTGGACAAGCTAATGAGTCTCCTGAAGAGACGATGTGGAAATGTACTGGGTTCAGTTAACAGCTCTCCTGGTTACTGTCATGGAGAGCTACTGAAATATTTCAGTTTCTCTGACAAGAAAATGCAAACATTATACCAAACATTGCTGAATTACCATTTCCAAACCTTATTACACAGTCATGTTATACTTTTGCTATCACACTACATTATACATGCTGAAAAAGCTTGTATTGGCACTTTTAGTTATTCACCTGGATGGGTATTTTTGTAAATTGTATTTTGTGTAATTTCTATTTTTATCTCTATTTATTAATATGTTTCTATTTTTGGCTCCTGACTTTTGTTGAAACAATGTACATTTCCCCTCTGTGGGACGAATAAAGTTATTCTGATTCTGACTACAGCATAGTCACTTTTAAATAGTACCTTCCTGTCACCCCAGATGACTTCCCGAAGCCTCAGATCACGCTGCAGCCGGAGACGCAGTCCGCTCTGAGAGGATCCAACGTGACCTTCATCTGCTCCGCGGCCAGCTCCAGCGACTCGCCCATGACCTTCTCCTGGAAGAAAGACAACGAGGTCCTGGATGACGCTGAGATCCACAACCAGGCTCACCTGAGGGTGCAGGGTGGCATGGTGGGAGAGACGGAGGTGACGGAGTACACCACCACCCTGCAGCTGCGGGACGTGGAGTTCTCCAGCGAGGGGAAGTACCAGTGTGTCATCTCCAACCACTTCGGATCTTCCTACTCCACCAAGGCCAGACTCACCGTCAACAGTAGGTTTGGGAGGGGGGAAGTCAAGATGTTGCTGTGTCTGGATCTATAAAGTCCATTTATTTCAAAGTTCTAAATGATCTGATTGAAGTTACTTTTCTTTTCCAGTGCTCCCTTCCTTCACCAAGATGCCAATGGACCTGAGTATCCGTGCCGGAGCGACAGCCAGGCTGGAGTGCGCCGCCGTGGGTCACCCCTCCCCTCAAATCGCCTGGCAGAAAGACGGAGGCACGGACTTCCCTGCTGCACGCGAGCGCCGCATGCACGTGATGCCGGAGGACGACGTGTTCTTCATCGTGGACGTCAAGGCCGAGGACATCGGTGTTTACAGCTGCACGGCCCAGAACACCGCTGGAGCTATCTCTGCTAATGCTACGCTAACGGTTCTAGGTAAGAAAAAACCTCAATCACCCCTTTACCACCAAACCGGTTCCAGGGCCAGTTTGTAGCTAGTGCCCGGTTGCAAACCATTTGTTCCTGTTTTCAAACTGGTTCGCATTTGGAACCAAAAACCAAATATGTTATAGAAATAGAAATATCTTTAATGAACAAGGACCATTAGAGATTAGCTTCGGTGGCTGGCTTAACATGAACCATCTAATACCAGAGACACGGGGTTGTGTTGCTAAACTGTCAATTCATAAAAAAATTGTAAATATGCATCAGTTGCTATTGTGACCGTCAGACAGTGCGTTACTAATCTCCAGCAGTCGAACCAAAGAAGCACCAGCATGGAGCTAGAATCTTTCTGTGGAAAATGTTCAGAGCTTGCAGATGTGGACGCAGGGCGTGTGTGATGATAGATCAGATCTTGACTGATGGATAATTCTGCTGTGGTCCTTTTTACAGAAACGCCTTCCTTCCTGCGGCCCCTCATGGATCGCACCGTGGCCAAGGGGGAGACTGCGGTCCTGCAGTGCATCGCCGGCGGCAGCCCCCTCCCCAGGCTGAACTGGACAAAAGACGACAGCCCATTGGTCGTGACTGAGCGCCACTTCTTCGCAGCGGCCAACCAGCTCCTCATCATCGTGGACGCTGCAGAGGCCGACGCGGGGACGTACACCTGCGAGATGTCCAACACTCTGGGGACAGAGCGGGGGAACGTCCGGCTGGCCGTCATCCCTAACCCCAACTGTGACTCCGGAGTTCAGGGCGGTGTGGGGGGGGGCATGATGGGCGGGGCAGGAGCGGACAATGATGGTTGGACCACGGTGGGGATCGTCATCATCGCTGTGGTGTGCTGTGTGGTGGGCACGTCCCTGGTGTGGGTGGTCATCATCTACCACACCCGGAGACGCAGCGAGGACTGCAGCGTCACCAACACAGGTGGGTGCATGCTGGTACCTCTGTACTATATAACTACGGCTGTAGTGGTAGACCTGCCACTGTCTGACTGGCGTAGCATTAGGGCTGCAACAAACGACTAATTTGATAATCGATTAATCTATCGATTAATGAAACGATTAATTGACTATTCGGACTATTACTGTATGCCTTACACAATTTCTCAAACGCTCTGATTTAGCCATCAACTTTTAGATTTAGCTTGAGGTTGTTTTAGGCATGTGGAAACTAACAATGAAGACAATAAAGATGAACACTTGATTCAAAAATACATATATTATTAAATTAACTAAACACATTTTGAACAAAACTAACATTGCTTTTTATTTAAACTAAATAAATAATATTTCACATCAAAAGAAACAACAGTGTTTTAACAAATTGTATTAAATAATGTGATAACAGAACTGTAAACAGAATAGCTGAAACTTTAACAAACTAAAGAGTAACTCCGTGTGTCGCTGCTAGCATAACACCTGACGGGGAAACGTTACTCGTGGATGGGGGGGCTACAGAGCTACTAGAAAGACAGTCGAACCCGGTGCATTCCTCCGTCTGAATGTGGAGCACTTTTGTTAAATGTTTAGACAAATTGCTCGTGTTACCGCCCTTACATGATAAACTGTTATTGAACTTTTGGCAACGAGCATCGAGATGGGTAAAGTTTAACCACACCTCGGAGCGCGTTCTCTCCACCATCTCCGCAGTGTGTTGCTGCATGTAGCAGCTGCGTGTGTGTAAACTGCCCCTCCCCCTCCCACACGGACGGGGGAGAGAGATCTCGTCGAAAATACATCATAGACGCATTTGTTTGTCTTTTTGCATGTTAGAAACGAGTTGGCGACACTAAGACTGCGATATAATGTTTTTGTGGCAATAATACATGACATATATATTTTTTAAATGTCTCCAGTACCGATAAAAAGACCAATAACTTTGGAGCTTAAGGCACGTAAAACACACGTGATGACGTCACCAACGAATCGACGACTGAATTATTTGGCAACTAATTTGGTAATCGATTTTAATCGATTAAGTCGATTAGTTGTTGCACCCCTAGTTCAAATGCGATTTTAAATGCTCACAGGTTTTACACCTCTTATTAAATGTAGACTACATTTATTACCGAGTTTATGTCCAACAGACTCACAGATCGTTGGCTGCTGAGAGAAATGCAAAATACACCGCATGTAGTACGACACAAACCTCCGCTGTGGATTTTCAAAACAAAATACAGTAAAACTATGGTCGCAGGCCCAAGTTTAGCTCTCTGAGGTCTAAGCCATTTTTTCACTTTAGGCTCGCCTGGGCTTTTTTTTCTAAAAATGCTATTAAAACATGAACCTTGGTGACCATCGGGCTGGCCTGCATGGTCTGCCTACAAAGCAAAAATAAAAAAAACGTTTTTTCAGCCCCAACAACAGCCTCTGATCGTCAACAGACTCCATGCAATGCTTCATCGGATGCATATATTAGATAATAATCTCCATCTCACTCCTAACATCCACATCTATTTTCAGCATGGATACATGTTCATAAAAGACATCCATTGTTTGTTTAATACGCTTCTTGAAATCTAAAAATAAAACACAATGGTTTTCTAGAACAGATTACAAATCGCCTGAAAATGGTACAAACAAACTGAAACTTAAGCTCGCTCCATTGCGGAGATATTCCCGCGAGATTGCGGAAAACTGAAATGTATTTATTCGTTTCAAATGTGACATTTTACCAATATACTCACGGACCACCAGGGGGCGCTCACCGACCACCAGTGCTCCGCGGACCACACTTTGAGAAGCACTGATTTAGAGAAATGTGTAAGAAAATTGTTGGTTTGTGAGATTTTAACCTACACGTTACTAAAACATATTTTACGACTCGCTGCACACACATCATAATTTATATCTCTTTGTCTCTGCTTTCCTCACTCTGACTCACCACTGTGAACCACTAGAGGTTTTGAAAATGAGCATCATGGTGGTGCATTCAGGGACACTTCACCCCTGTTATTACATTTTATTAAAAGGCTTAGGCTGGAGCCACACGAGAACGGTAACGCAAACGAACCAAAATCGTTATCAAAAAAGTCTTCGGTCCAAACGCAATAGGTACCAGAAACGTGTCCTTCCAAACGAGACCGCTCGACCCACTGGAGACGCTGTAGTGCATATGCCGGGCCTGTGAGTGGCGCTGTACTTCCGCCACCAAATGCACCAAAAGCAGCGAAGAAGACTTCCGAGGTCGCCCTTCTGTTTATTCTCCGCGGTGGATTTAGCAGCAGAGGTGGGGCTCTTTTTCTCCGTCAGTAGCAGCTGATCTCTCTCTCCTGTCCGATTAGTCTTCACTCACGTTTATGTCCATATCGATCAGATCTAGTTAGTTCTAGCTAATGATGTGACTGCCTGAGTGTCAAAGGACACCTAAACAATAAGCAACATTTTGACCGGAGAATTTTTGATTTCGGCTAATGGAAACTCTGCCGTGCGGGGGGGTCTGCTGGAGGCACCTACTGGGTGCACTGTCCTGCAAGATACCGGGCCCTGGCTCGAAACACTGTTGTTGTTGTTGTTGTTGTTGTTGGCAAAACACATCAGCAATGACGCGGGTTACACGGGGGTGAGCAGGAGAGGTGGGGAGAGGCGGGGCTATTGCATCATCGTTATCAAAAAATGATCGTATTGGGCGTAGACACGGAGCTGTTTGGCTCCCCGGAGCATTTCGTCCGCAGACCCACCTTGGGACCCGTTATCGTTATCTGCGTTTCTCTGTCGGCCTCGTGTGGCCGAACCGTCTATGATAGAGAACTGTAGCGGATACGACCGTTACCGTTCTCGTGTGGCTCCAGCCTTAGTTGAATACTCGATTCTGATTGGTCAATTCAGAACACGTGACACGTTGTTAATCCAGAACAGACAGACTGCTGTCAAGGAATGATTGACCATTGTTAAGGAAGCTCACATCTGCAGAAAGAAGTCCAGTCGAAAAGCAAACTGGGACAAGAGGGACAAGAAAACAGCGGAGAAGTAACGGGGCAGAAACCCTCCTTTTTACGCAGCGGTCCAGGCATAGACATCAAACCACAAAACATATTCAGTGTGCAGTTACTTTGGCATTAGGGCAGGGATATCTAGATACTTCCCAAGGTTTGACATAATGAATTTGACTACTTTTAAAGCAAGCGACGATGTTTTCAAATCTGTAATCAAAAAGCTCCTCAAAAACGCTATCGAAGCGGTTCCTGCCGTTGCTACGTTAGTTCAAACGGTAACAACGGACTATTTCTCTTAGCGGGTTAAAAAAAATAATAGCCTACTATTTTTTAAATCAATAAAAACATTTTCTAAATCTATAAAAGCATTTCAATTAATATTGGGAGTCATAACTACTTTGTTACTTTGTTGAGAATGTGGCCGTGTGATAAGCGGGATGATGTGCAGCGAGGCGGTCAGTATGGGGAACACCCGACAGGCGGATCAGGAGCCCGGCGCCAAGCCTGAATCCCTTATCCCTTACTTAAATGCATCACGTGCTGACAATAAGTTTCAATATAAAACATCAGATTTAAAGAGGTTTCTTTGCGAGTTTCTTGCAGCTTTTTATTTTGCATTTGTCACTCTTTTCCCTCTGTGTAGATAGATGTCTCCAGGTTTAACACTTTTTAAATACGGATCTAAAAACTAGGGTTGGGAGTAACAAATAGGTGATCTTTTATTTAGAAAAATAGCCAGCGTACAATGGACAGTTTCAATCTTAAATATTGATCTGTTTACAGAGGAATCAAAAGATGGACCACAGATGCAAAACTTTAAAAGCTATATTTGAAAGTTTTCAACCAAAAAAGCAAACGTTTTGTCTTACATTTGCCAGTGTACATTTAAATGGAGTTTAAATATTCGTTAATATTGATCTTCTTATATTATTTTGTATTTTTGTCGGCTGAAAACAAACTCTCTGCAGATTATTTTGTCGTAGCGTGTTCTTCTATACTTCACACCTGCAGCTTTTTTTATTTACCAGCATACATTTGAATAAAATCAGAATGAATATTGTACGTAGTTGGTATTGCACAGGAGTACCAATACATTTTTGCAAGTTCAAATCGTCTTAAACACTGATCTAATGACCTGGATTTTAACCGTGCAGCTTTACATAAATCAGCATTTCTCCGATCTTTTTCCCCGGTAGTTTTTCTCAGTGAATTTATGCAGCTCTGCAGGAGAAGCGCATGAAACGCCTGTTTAAAAAAGCAGGAGTCGTGTGTCTTCCAGCCACCGGATAATCCCCTGACACTGTAACCCTGTGTTGTTGGAGCACCTGTTGTTCATAGTTGACCTGGAGGAGGTTAACTTCTTCAGGTAAAGCAGAGGAGCCGGGGACAGCGGCCTCAACGCGGCGAGTCAAACGAGGGCCCGGGGGGAAAAGACAGCCAAAAATTGATCATGACCGTCTTTGAACTCCCTCCTTATTAAAGTAATCAATCAGGGAGGGAATATATGAGGCTGCTGCAGGGTCACCGAGCCCAGGGTGCTTCAATGGAGAAACTGTACGCACCGCGGAGGACAGAGTTGTCTTTTTACGATTCAAAATATTTAACAAAGTATTTTTTAATTTACTTCAGGAACACCCGGAGACAAATTACGACTCAGAACGACACACAGGAAGTGAGAAATATTTCTGCGGACGTTTTTTTTGAACTGCGACACATCAATTAGAGCGAGGTTAACGAGAAAAGATGAAAAAGACGAGACAGGTGAGTAGAGGAGAATCTGTTTAGATGCCTTTCCAGATCAGGATGGTTTGAAAAGAATCATCATTTTTAAACAAACTTACAAGAATAAGATATATGAAAATATCTTTACAAATATTTGATCTTTTACATTTGATAACAAATCAATCCTTAACTAAGCTCCACTTTTGTATTCCCTCATCGTAAGTCCCTCTGGATAAATGCATCACTTTAATGTCTGCTTTAATTAGCA